GAGCTTTTTGTCCCATAACAGTAAGGCTTACCAAAACGAGTGGGTTCAGGGAGACTGCTGGGCGCTAGCCACTGCATCCGCAAATCATCGCTGGTTGTCAGTAGGTATTGGAAATAATCTAATTGAGCGAAGCTGAACAACGATTAATATCAAATTGGAGGGTCCAAGAAATACGGTAATATCGATCTGATTCGTTCTGAAGCTCCTAATCTCCTTGGTTTATTCCCACATTTCTGCCTCTTCCACTCTTTTGCATTTTCGTAGCGGTTTCTCTATTTTCATTGAAATTCTGGCTCAAATTGTTGCGTTTGGTCAGATTCCTCCACAGATCGTATCTGGATTCGAATTCATTAGATATTTGACGTGTATAATATAGAGAAGCACGTGTAGGCCGATATTTCGCAACAAACAGAAACATTTTTGCGCGCGCCTTCCGAAAGTTTTGATGAGGCAAGATGTTTTGCGAATGACGTCCACTGCGTGGGTGGCCTCTGTTAGATGGGCGATCGCTGTGACCAAACGAAGGATTTCTGGAGGAAAGAAGGACAGGGATAGTCTATGATTTCTAGGTTACTTAAAAGGGACTTTAAGTAGGCAATCAGTCATTCTGGAGTCTAACAGGTTCGCGCAGTCCGAATACAGGGGTCACTAAGAAACACTTTCCGCTCATGGAGCGTACCTTTGGACCTTACTTCGTACAGAATGGCGAAATAAATGAATAGCATAGACGCTCACTCCAGACCCTTATTTCAACCCGAGTATCTTCAGAATCAGTGGAGCCCATCTGTGCGGGGATCCCTGGCAGGGCACATCCTGGCGTTGGGGAGAAATTCATGCTGAATGCGATCTCCTTGGATTTTCTTCTTCCGGTACATACGAACTTTTTCGCAACCTACCGAGCAGCTCCCTAATCTTTTCCGAAAATTTCGAAAAATCGGAAAATTTGGCCGTGAGAGGGAGAGTTTAGACTCCTTCAATCAATAGGGCAGAAGCATAGTTTGCCACTCGCGCCGACTCTGGATGCGCTGATGGGTCTACGGACAACTTGAACTCAATCCCTTTAAACGCGTCGATCTTCTCTTTTTCTCTGCACTCTCTCATCCGCATGGCACTCTATGGCCATTGTGACTTCGCTCACTCCAGCTTTTCACCGACTATAAGTAGCTCACTCACCCTCCCTTCGAAACCCATTTCCTGGCTCGTTCATACCTTTTTTGCACGTTTCGATGCTTTGGCAGCCGCTGCCCTCTATCGTCTGCGTCACAAGGTTTCGTAACGGGACCATGCAAAAAGTTTCAAGATATCACGTAGCCGGACGGGAGGGAGGGAACGACATAGTCTAGATGGAAAGGGAAAATCAACAGTCAGAAAAATATCTCTCAGGCCAAATAAGACTTTTCTGCAACCGAGTATAACCTAACGCTTTTGGATTACCAACGAATGGCGTGTCCGATCCCATGCGTACCTGGCAACCAACTTCATAGGATTTAGCGCAAGTAGTGTAACAGCTTGCTCCTGGCTATGGAAAATATCATGAACTACCTAGGGGTCCTCCGTGCACCTTTTCACCCGGTGTGAGAGGGCGCGAGAGGTTCTCTTTTTGCTTTTCTGTGCGTTCCGAATCGAAGCAGTTATTATTGCTTACTTGAAATTTAACTTATAGACACTTTGAATATTTCGTTTCATTTGTCACTCAAACTTCAATCTGCCAAATGGCCCATGATGAGCTTCCTCGGATGGGAAACTGGACATCAGTGCTATTTAGAGATTTTACGATACGATTCCAAAATATCCCACATTTTAAGGTATGCGTTCGACAAGAAGGCGAGCGATGTGGCGGTGACGCGGGTGTTTGTGCTGCACATCTTCGTTGTACACAACATAACGATGAAAACGAGTATGGCACTTGTACAGGTCAGCAGACTTATACTTTGAGATTTATTGATTACTGACGCTCGACGCGTATGCTGTCCAATCGATACGCTTAGCCGCCTCTCACTCTGTCGCTTCATGCAAGGAAGATTTCACAGTCCGAGAAATGGCTGTTACCGTATTCTACTAGCGTGATGCACGTTTTCCCCACACTTCCCTTCGCTTGGTTCAGGTGTCGCGCTTCACGCGCGAGCGTAAGGAGAGGAAGGGGTTCCAACAACCTTCTACGGGCCTGGGCTAGGGCAATACAATTTCCGGACTGCGAAATCTCTCCTAATTGCTTCATTGCTGGTGTTTTGCTTTCAATGCTTCGATTACTCCATTTTTTTTACCTCGTTCTTGTTCACGAATATTTTTTCTCTGAAATATTCACATTTATCATCTTTTCGTATCCAAGTAACTTTACTGATATGTTGTGCGAAGTGTCATTTTGTCCTGGATAAGTAATACCAGAGCTCTTAAAATATGCACTATCACGCGCCGTTCTGACTTGAAAGCACAGTCGTGGCGCACCCTGAAATACTCCTAAATAATTCGAAAAAAGATTTTCTTCGACCTATTCTGACCTTCGTACTCTTTTTTTTTTCTTCCTACTTTTTCTTCTCTTTGATGACTTTTCACCTCGTCTGCTTTGTCTCTCCACTTCCATCATCCCACGCGGATGTTGCCATCTCGACGAATTTTTCATGTGATGAGTGGCGGCTCTTAGGCCGCAAAAACCCTTTTATGGTCTGGCTGCCCGGAAATTCGTTGCATAAAAAATTAAGGCTAGGCCATCGTAAATTTCCTCTCCATGCTCTAGTACAATGAAAGTCGAATGAAGTTCTATTGGGGACGCTATCGGTGCGTATGTGGAAATCTTGCGAGAGCAACAGAGCAGGAAACAATATTTTCACGCCTAAGAGAAAAATCCAAAAAAACGATCGATTAAAAATTGACTGTTGGCTTGTCCAGTTTTCTTTTTTCGTACTTCTTGCACCATTACGGATTCCCATAAGTATTCAAATCGCGGCGAAAATAAGGGAGTGGTGGGTTCAATCGTTTCTAGTTCTCACAATTTTTCCGGGACCTTCCTTATTTTTTTCCAAATGGTCAACGGATCAATCCAGGGCAAATTTCATCAAGCCAACCAAGCTTTTCATCAGACTTTTGTTCTCTCGCTTTTTCGGTTCAGCTTGACAGCAGTGGGCAGGCAGTGTAAGGTGGGAGCTTGCAACATCTTGAGGCAACCTCAAGCCTCAATTCCAACAGTGCTTGGCTTCAACCAAGTCTCATTATCGCTATCATATTTGCAAACTACTTATCTCCTTACCGGAGCTTTTATTTCTTGTGGATTTCTTTTTTCCCGCGGTACATTACAGTCACTCTCAGTGGAACTGTGGCCACCACGCAATCTCCTCTTTTTTCTACGTTTTTTTTTTTGTTTGCGGCTTAGCATCTTATGGGGGGCAGTTGAAAGGGCTCAACAGGGAAAGCCATAAAGAAAGCCAGAGAATTTCATCTGATACCTGGAGGGGGGATCTCTGGGGTGGGTGAATCGATGTTAAGTGCACTAATTCTACTCGATGATTCTAACCTTCTCTACACGAGTCCTTTGTATGCCCCTCGTTCCTTCACCATATGCCCCTCGTTCTTCACCAAAGTTATTGAAAGCCCCGATTCATTAGAGGTGAGACCATCAGGCTTTCTCCTGCTTTCTCTCTTTTATGTATCTTTTTTTTAATATTTTTCGCTGAACTGTCTAAATGTCCTTGTCTTCTTCGTACTCATTCCTGTAGATCACAGCTTACAAGGAAAGGATGGTTGGTCGAAGTGGCCATTCGAAATGAGACGTATACTGCCCGATGGGCCCTTGGACGCTGATTACAAATCTGCCCTCCATATCTGCTAAACGATTTCCTGGACAAAGTTATGCAGGATTTTTGACCAGGTCACACCCATTTCCAGCATGTATATGAGGTGCTCCAAATTGCCCAAATTGGCTGGAATCTGAAACTAGAGGTGCTTCAGTGCCCTGGAAATCAACACTGCAGTCATATTTCGTGAAAACGTCTTGTACGCATTCTGGAGGGGCAGGGTGTGCAGGAACCTGCACTCTTGGCATAGCACTTTTTTAGGGGTAGCGAACGAGTGTGATATTCGTGCTCTGGGGCTCAAATTAGCCCTAGAGACAAGTTTTCAACCAAATTTGAGATTTCGACCTATTTTCGATACAGTGGGGTAACCATAGGCAGCCAATTCCTAAAGGTTGCTGGCACTATCGCCGATTCAAATCTCTGTGAGCAGTGGAGGTTCCTCGCTAAATCTTAGTCCTTGTTGGTTAGCTCGCGGTTGATTAACAACCACGACATCCACTTTTGGCTCCCATGCCATCTGGAATCAGTTTGGCCTCACAACACGACGGAACGAATAATGCCGCCGAAACCAATCAGGAGGTCCCACTAGGAGTGTTCCAGAATGGCTCTATCACATCAGAAATAAAATTTTTTGGTAGAATCAGGTCTCCTAGCCTCGCAGAAGTGCTTTCCGGATGTGCAGGAGGCATTTTTGAGAAAATGCAAAATGGCGATTCATGGAGGGATTCGAACCTCTCACCTCGCATACTTGAGCGGGCGCGCCCACTACCCGCTAGCTACCAATGCACTTACGTGTGACCACTTCACAGTCCGTTTGTGTTTACCAAGCTCAATTGTGCTCCGTACAACAACCTCCTGCATATCTCTGCTCAGAGAATCGTTTAGCAGATATGGAAAGCAGATTTGAAATCAGCGTCCGAAGACGCATCAGTGTGTATGCATCTTGTCTAAATGGCCACTTCGACCAACCATCCTTTCCTTGTTAGTCCGGGCCCCATCAACCAGCGCATCCTCTCGATGCATCCCTGCGAACTAATAAGTGTCCATTATTTTCGGTCTTCGAATAACGCAAGGCGGCCGTTATTATGTGTCCGGCCAATCATCAATAATTGTATTTTCATGGTGATGGATCCGATTTTCACTCTCCATAGAGAGGAGAGTGGAGGCAATTTTTTTTGAGCCGCCTTCATAGCTACTCTCGGTCCAGCGCCTACCATGTCTCTGTGAAATTTGACCCCTCCGAGGCGGCGGAGTTGGCTTGCAAGCAAGGAGAAGTACGCCAAATCGCTGTTTGCATTAAAGTAAGTGGGGACCTTTGGATGATAGTTGGGGAAATTCGACACCCGATTTGCAGTTTAGTCTTCGCTCACGAACCCAATTTGACCACGTACACTGTTGGAACCTTCTGACACTTTTATTTGAGGAAAAGGGAAAGGCTCAAATGGTAAGAGTCATTGAAGACTTTGGTCGCCCACCAAGTCGTATTTCAGAAGGAAAATGGCCTCTGACAACCTAATCCTTTTCTATGTCCAGCTCAGAGCCGCGGTGAAAGACGCAGGCAGATATATGAGAGTCTACTACCCATTCATCACTGGTTTTATGTCTCCGCGCTACCCTACTATAAAGCATACCTGTACGAATGGTGAAAGGTTGGGAGCGGAGTGGGATCCCTGAAAAATGAAAAATTCTCACAAAGAGGGTTGTGTTTATGTCGCTCAGAAGGCGATTAGAATGGTTCATCTATGAGGGGGCATTTTTCTTTTCTGCTAGTTCCTTTTATCTATTCATGCTGAATAACAGGTCCCGTTTGGTGAAACATGTGAACCCGGTATGGTGCGAGTGGACCGCTTTGGTTCCAAAGATTTACAGGCTCTCACAAGGTGACCTGTGAAAGCTTCGCAGCGTACCATTCGAGGGCCCCACTAAGCCAATTGCACCCGTTTTCGAAATGGGCGTGGGTGGTGCAGTGGCAAGTAGCAATGCTTATCAGGCTCGCGGTAGAAGGGAAAATCCCAGGTCGGTTCCCGCCTCAGCTGAGCAAATATTTCATTCATTTAAAGATGATAAATTAAAACCGGACCCTCCTGGCAGCATTAACTTTCAGATCGGGGCTGGCTCTTGCAAATCATTGCATAGACTAGATGTCCCTGTTCTCGAAAGACGCTAGGACTCTCTATGAGAAAGCGTGGCGCATCCCAAAGGGGGTTGGTCAGGACTAGCTGCTTTTATGGCTGATGCCATTTGGACGCGCTCAGCTTTGGGTGGTGGCTAGTTCATGAAGTGCCTAGATCAGCACGAGTTATTTAACATCCCAATTAAGAATATGACATTCATCTTGTCGCTGGCGCTAATGGAGGACACTACGATTACCTTCTGGGCTCAGCCTTAGCAGAGCGCAGATAATCGTAGTGTCCTCCATTAGCGCCAGCGTTAAAAATGAATGTCATATTCGTAAGGATGTTAAATACCCTGTATACAAGTTTTCTGCGGATTTGGTGATCTAGGCACTTCATAAATGAGCCAGCAGCCAAAACTGAGCGCGTCCAAACGGCATCAGTCGGTTACTATCCTTTTTAATTCTGTGTACTATGTCATGTCCTGCACCCTCACCAGAATGTA